ATTGCGCCTTAGTCGGGCCCCTGCCCTGGCGCTCCCCAAACTACAACCCTACTACAACAACTACAATTAAACATACTCACATTTATTGGCGGATATTGGCGGCAACAAGTTGACGACCTATTCTTCTCATCCTCTGCCGGGCTTGGAGGTACCAAGCCATCGCGTCGTCCATCCATCGGGTCGTCGGCGGTAAGTGGCGCACTGCTGGCGCCTGCAGCCGGCAGCGTCCATCCGGTGTAGCGGACGCTGGCTTGCCAGCGCTCCGACAGGACGGGACAGTATGCCGGACCATACTGCCGAGTGCCAGTGGCACTCCGAGCCGTCCAGCTTCAGCGTTGCCGGCACAACGCTCCTCCCGGAGGGAGCGAAGTGCGCCGACTGGCAGAGGCAGGCTCGCTTAAGTAGTCCTAGCTGGAGGCGGGAATACCAAAAAACTTGACCAAAGAGGACGCTTTAAAGGAGGAATTCACGATTAGAATGAAGGTCGAAGAAAGGTAATTGACCTAGTTGAGGGACCCACGGACCTCCTGAGGGTGCGAACTGATGCGCAATTCGCATGAAAAATTTGACCTCGGCGACCTATCATGCCTCAAAGCTGGCGGGTCCGGCGATCTCCGCCCACCGATCATCTGATCACTCGCCGCAGTCTATACGTGGCGAGTGATTAGATAGCAGAGAGAGCGTTGAAGAGGGCACAGCGATGAGAGTCGCATCAATGCTCAAATCAACGGGCAAGGAAGGGGTCCCATTTCTCGGGTTCTGGGCCGTTTCTCATGGTTCTTCCTTCTTTCGTGTACCACTCACCATCCCTAAGTTAATTTGAAATGGGTTGCCTTTCCAGCGTGAATTCGTCCTTTAAGGGCGCCTCAAAAACAATCATCTACAACGACCAAATGGAAACACAGCGGAACAGAGGTGCTTCAAAGGAAGCGATTACGATAAGGAATTTTCGCATCGGGGAGAACCTGCGCCACACGGAGCAATTACTTGGCTGCCAAGGAAGCGATGTGTGGCCTCCCACGGCGAAAGGTGCTGTGGTTGCTGAGCAGGACCCGCGTGACGCCCGCCCCCAGTGACGTGACGCCCACTAGTTTTGTTGATGATCTGGATGGACTGTTTGCTGTTGGCTTTTCATTTTGGATGATCATTTCCCTTCTAGCGGCTGTATCTTCCAACTTGCCCACGTATTGCCTTATCAATCAAAACACTATGCTTGTTGGCATGATGGCGGCTATCGGGGTTAACACGTCCGAACAACGTCGTTCTTTACCGTCGCTCATCCATGGTCGAAAATGAAAGGGCAATCAAAGGGGTACTATTTTGCTTATTTTTGACGGATTTCTTTGCTTTTTTCGCCATTGGCGTACTATTGAGACCCCCACGTCCCCTCTAAACCCCTTTGAGATCTATCGTAATCGCTTCCTTTAAGGGCACTCCGAAAGACACAAGGGCGGTTGCCTTAAGGGCAGCCGCAGAAAGAGACAATAGCAGACGTCTTAAGGACGCCTGAAAAAACACCGGGAGTGCCTTAAGGGCACTCAAAAAGAGATCACATATTGTAACTGCTTGCGTCGTAGTCCTCCACTCTCCACCGAACGTCGACGTTGAACTGCACCGAAGGGCGAACCATCTCCAGCGAAGTTCCTCGACCGTGACAGCAACGGAATAAAGCATCGTGACGACTTGAATTCGACGGCTGATGTTGGTAGACGTCGTTGGTGCCACGTGCCCATCTTCGTTGACTGTCCTTGCCCACTGTCGTCGACCGTCCTTGCCCATTTTCGTCGATCGAACCTGAAAGTAGAGGAATACGGCGACAATGTGTTCCCACTTGGCAAACACAGCGGTAAAGGGCTAAACAAAGCGGCAACTTGTGGGACGCAGCGGTAAGTTGTGAAACAGAGCGGTAACTCAAATGTGCTTGAACTCAAGCAATCACTTGCGCGGTAATAAGTCTGAATTTAGCGGTAAATCGACGTCACGTACTGTTTAGTACGGGCGTCCGCGGTAACTGCCTCCTCCCCTCGAGGATCCTCTTCGAAGGTGGTCCTCTCGATCTCGACCGATTATCACGAGGGGGAGGCCTTCTCGGCGGAGGACTTGCCCATCCAGGAACGTCCTCCCTCGTACGATTGAAGGTGTCCCTCGCGAGATCATCGTAGAAGCGGGAAGCTTGGATCGTATGTCAACGATCGCATGCCTGTTGAGCACGCAAATGGCCTGGTGATGGCCCCTTCGCGCGCATAACAAGCATTTCTCCATGCGGGAACAGTTGCCATAGTGCTGCTTCAAGCAGTTACTACAAATCCTCTCACTTCGGAGAATATTAGCTCTCTCCGTGAGGCGTTTGTAGAAGTGGCATTCAGCGGAAAAGTGCCCTCTGCCAGAGCAGAAGACACACGGCGGTTGGGAGCTCCTGGGTTGCTCCTTTGGCGGCAATGGTGAGTGCTCTCTCGAGGAGTCTCTTCCTCTGCCTCCACTCGAGAGGCCCACTGAATCATGGCGGTAACGTCGCGGCTCGACCTCTCCCATGGCCCTCGTCGTGGACGGTCCACGGCCACGTTTTCCCCTCGCGGAAGAACTGGACGAAGGTCCATCCTCCCGAGAGAAGCGGGGGCACGGCACAGGCGGAAGTTGACGGTCCATGGGATGCAGTCGAAGGTGAATCCTTCTGCGGTAACTTGAGAATGCGGAAAGACTTAAACTTCGGCTGTAACGCCGGAGTTGAGGCCGGAGTAGATGTAGGCGGTAACACTGGTGGCAGATTCTGAGCATACTGCTGCGCATGCCCTTCGACCTGATCGACGATCTGCTTCGTCTGGCCATGGTCTAGGGCTTGCGAGTAGTTGTCTCTCCACCACTGAAGTGTCTGCGTGAATGTCGCATTGGACGCGGGAAGATCGCCTGGAGGGGCTTGGTGGACGTCCTTCAGAAAGGTAAGGGCGTCTGCCTCGCCTCCCTTCAGGTCTGCGATAATAGTGATCTGCATTGTCTCTATCGCGCGCAGATATCGTGTCAGAAACGCACTCAAACCTGATGCGCGTGCCAACAACGATGATATTTGCGCAACAGAAACGTTGCAAACCTTTAAAGCGTCATGAAGGCGCTTGCGGTAAGTGTCATCAAGAAGGCATGGCAAGACACCTTCTTGAAGGATGTCCCTATGAACTGACATTGCGGTAAGGGAGTGGACAATTTCCTGTGCCCACGCGGTAAGAACAGAGAAACTGAAGTGCTCGGGTGGCAGTACTGTGACCGTATTCGCGAGTTGTGTGATGAGCCTGGACGCATTGTCCGTGGTTCTCCGCAACAACTCAAGCGAATTGACGATGCTCAGTATCTGCGCCCGAGTCTCCATGCTCATCTGATTAGCGGGCGCGGTATTTGGCGTTAAATATTCAGACTCGTATTGTCTGATGAAGCGGTAAACTGTTGCTAACTGCAATGCGGTAAGTTCTTCGACGGTATGCTGATTGACGAAGAACGAACTGTCCGGCGACACTGGCGGTAACGGGAAAACATCCGATGGTGCGGGATTTCTTCGAATGTGTTCCGTTCTGCTGGTCAGACGGACCAGATTGGCCCGTTTTATCGCGAAGACTCTCGAATTCACGTAGATATTCGTCATGCGCCTGGCGCATGGCGTTACCCACGTCTCGTAGAATACGAGAGTAATCAACGATGTTCTGAGTGCGCGGATTGAACGTAAGAAATGAAGAACTGATTAAAGAAAAAAATGGGTGAAATAATAGGGGGGGGGAATCACAAAGAATCAGTCTGACTTCCGTTTCGCACGGGCCCTTAGACGGAAGCCAGACGTGTGTGAGCATATCCTCTCCCTGTGCTCATCAGTAAGGGAGGAGAGGAAACTGACTTCTGTTTGAATAATATAAGTTTAGAAATGATAAGATTGAAGAAACTAGGTAAGTTTAGAAAAGAGCAGTTTCACAGAACATTTTACAAACATGTGAAATTATGCAAAACCTTGAAAATTCCTAAAAACATTAAAATATCATCATGTATACGAATTCCGTAACTTTTGGTACATTTTGTGTGTTTGCGGACTAACCGAATAAATGTACGCAACTGTATTTTGTTGAAATTAACACGATGAAACAATGAGATCAACATTTTTTTCCCTTCTTCAAAACTTTTTAATTCTTTACCGTTGGTTAACTTCTATCCAAATCCTCTAATTATTGTTCATCGTAGTGCCTTTAATCGAACTTCGCCCAGGATCCATGTAACCGTAACAGTATTACTCATTGCTCGTCGAAGGTGAAATACCAATCAAATAAATGTATTGTTTTGTAGATTTGATGTCTCAAAACGAAATGGCGCAACAAGATCAGTCTCCGAACCTCGAAGCACCCAGCAACATCATCTCACCCTTTTCTCGAGTAAGTGTCTTATAATTATTAAAATATCGATACAGATAACTACCAGATAACTACCTAACATTGTCAAGTGTATGTTACACGCAAATGTAAAAGACTACACGTAAGTAATAACGAGTAATACTATATTATAGTTTTCAAATAGCCTTTACTGAATTTATACTTAAAGTTTATAAATTTATTCTTAATTATGCATTAATTAGGCCAACGAAAACACGATGTCCTTTCCATATCTCGAGTTGACTGCACATAGTATACTATTAATTCTGCTATTGAAATCCTCCCTTTTGGTTGCGGGCAATTCTGAGAATTTCCGAATAGATTGTGTTATGCTTGGTACTATTAGCTATATTACTATTAGAATTGGGAAATTTTTTGACCGGAAACCTGAAATTATCCGTTTTATTAACATTTTAGTAAAAATTTGGTTGTTGTCTATTAATATTTCCAAATCTAAATAACAACACTTGAAATCTGACAATTCGTAATTTCTAAGTTGCACAGTGCTACTTATTCACTACTACTTGCTGTCAAGACACCATTCTCATTATAATACTAGCTATTGCTGTTATGTATTATAAGCCAAAGTGCCACCATATATCTATAGCCGGCTTTAACCCTACATAGCGCACAACCCCTCATCTATTGTAGAAATGTTTAATTGGAGTACTGCCTTAAATATCAGTATAGCGGGTACCGTCATTCGAAGTCAAGATAAGGTTAGTGCTGCTATCATCGTCTCGCCCACCACTCCTGCTCGCCCCTGTGGACTCCTCATCTTTGTCCACAACAAACGCGTCGCATCTGAAAAGTTCTAGGTACACATTATTTAGGAACGCACCTCACTCCTACCACCACGCCTAGATTCACTCCCCCATGCGAAGATAGTGGTAGTATCTATACGTTTTTAATAGCGCTTGTTATGCTGTATACCGAATGTTCTGAACCGTTCGGACTGCATAAATTTACTGTTACTTCAGTTTTTATACTACCACTTGCAGAATCTCGGTAACTGTTTTAAAGCAACAGTCCAGGCAGGGTTTCAACTACTTGGTCATTAGGCGGTCAAAACATGCCCCAGCCCAACTAAAGTTTATAGGAAATGTCTTTAAGTTCAAAACCTACCTCTAAAATGCGCTGGAAGGGGTCGAAGTCCTCTTGGAGGGGGCGGATCACTCATACCGAGGCGGATCGCTCAACATACGCTGTGCAGAGAGCCGTGCTCGACTAGCGGTCGTTGCGGGACCGCCGCGCTGTATGAGGTCGATTCTATAAGAACGCAACTAACGCGCTTCAATTACGATTGCTGGCAAATAGCCATGTATTTGCAAGCATGCATGGCTATTTGCCAGCAGTTGCAATTGGAGCGCATGTACTGGGCAGGTTCGGACAACTCGTCGCAACACACGCCAACCCCCTAAACGGCGTCGTCCCCCATCCTAAACGGCAGGGGGAGTCCCTGTCTAAGCCCCTGCCCGACGTTTTTTTCTACTTTTTCTTTCTCCATTGACCAACTTCTCACCTGCAACGTCATTATAGGTGGTCCTTACCTGCGAATTCGTTCCTGGATTGTTGCTTGAAGAATACAAATGTGTGGTAAGTTGGTGAACATATTAGTGAAATCCGCTCAAAGAGTTTCATATTATCTATTTTCAAAAATCGAAGTTCTTCAACTAATGTTTCAAATTATTTATAGGCCACTTCCTAGAAGCTCGCATTTGCGACTTTTAGTTTATTTAATATAACCAGATTAGTCCCCCGTCAACCGCCGGGACCTTCCTTTCCTGCGCAAGCTTTCTATCCTCCGCTATGGTCCCTTCCTCCTGTGACACCAACACCTGGAAGTGACGCGTATGCAACACAATGGTGTTTCATACAGTAGAAGGGACACAATCATGATATGACGGTAGATTTTTCGCTTCCCTTCCTCATCCTCCCTTCCTCTCTCCACTGCCCTCCAGCTGCCACTGCAGCACCATGTGGAATGAACGGAAGTGTGCTAAGCAGGTGTTTATATAGCCCTAAGAGTGTTATCACAACTATCCTGCTACAAAACATTGATATCTCAAATCCTGTAAGCTACCCGATTTGTTAGCGGTTTGTTTATCCCATGAGCTTCCTTCTCACTCACTTCATTTTGCGGACGGACACACATACATACACACACGCACACACACACACACACTCACACACACATACAGATACACAAACCGACACACAAAGTTAGCGCTTTATAATATAGTAGGATATGAAAATAACAGTTTGTGGAATGACAATGTCACACAAGTGACAAAGTTTAAAGGCAAGCGATTACGATAGATCTCAGGGTTTAGTTAGAGGACGTGGGTCTCAATAGTACGACAATGGCGAAAAAAGCAAAGAAATCCGTCAAAATAAGCAAAATAGTACCCCTTTAACTGCCCGTTCATTTTCGACCGTGAATGAGCGGCGACAAAGAAAGGAGTTGTTTGGACGTGTTAACCCCGATAGCCGCCATCATGCCAACAAGCATAGTGTTTTGATTGATAAGGCAATACGTGGGCAAGTTGGAAGATACAGCCGCTAGAAGGGAAATGATCATCCAAAATGAAAAGCCAACAGCAAACAGTCCATCCAGATCATCAACAAAACTAGTGGGCGTTACGTCACTGGGGGCGGAGCGTCACACGGGTCCTGCTCAGCAACCACAGCACCTTTCGCCGTGGGAGGACCACACATCGCTTCCTTGGCAGCCAAGTAATTGCTCCGTGCGGCGCAGGTTCTCCCGGCCCCTATGCGAAAAATTCCTTTATCGGATTCCTTCCTTTAAGGTGCTCAGTTTTTGCACCGTGTTATGAATTCGGAAAACCTAATAAAACAGTTGGGGCCTTCTATATATAAAGCAGTAAGGATGTTTGTCTGTCTGTCTGTCTGTCTGTCTGTCTGTTTGTAACCACTAGGCTCGCACGCTAAGCAGACCTAATAAAACAGTTGGGGCATGGTCTAGGATGGGTAGGAAGTTGCAGTCAGGTCGTGTACGGTTGCCTAAAAGGATACGGTAGTGGGCGGGGCCGACCCGATGGGCGGGGCTTGCGCCAAAATTTCTGTTGGAAATATCGATTTTCGCGTAAAGGGCTCGAATGAGGTTGGAAATTGCAGTATAGATTGGGGGCTGTGGTAAAGGTAGGTATTCCACCCGGCCACGTGCTATCGATCGATATCGATTGAAAATATCGGTTTTTGCGCAGAGGGCTCGAATGAGGTTGGGAATCACAGTATTGATTGGGTGCTGTCACGGAAAAAAAGAATTTTTATAGGGCCACGTGCTATCGATCGATATCGATTGAAAATATCGGTTTTTGCGCAGAGGGCTCGAATGAGGTTGGGAATCACAGTATTGATTGGGTGCTGTCACGGAAAAAGAATTTTCATAGGGCCACCTGCTATCGATCGATATCGATTGAAAATATCGGTTTTTGCGCAGAGGGCTCGAATGAGGTTGGAAATTGCAGTATAGATTGGGGGCTGTGGTAAAGGTTGGTATTCCACCCGGTCCACGTGATATCGATCGATATCGATTGAAAATATCGGTTTTTGCGCAGAGGGCTCGAATGAGGTTGGGAATCACAGTATTGTCCTCGTATATATACAAGCAGTAAGGATGTTTGTCTGTCTGTCTGTCTGTCTGTCTGTCTGTTTGTAACCCACTAGGCTCGCACGCTAAGCAGACCTAATAAAACAGTTGGGGCATGGTCTAGGATGGGTAGGAAGTTGCAGTCAGGTCGTGTACGGTTGCCTAAAAGGATACGGTAGTGGGCGGGGCCGACCCGATGGGCGGGGCTTGCGCCAAAATTTCTGTTGGAAATATCGATTTCCGCGTAAAGGGCTCGAATGAGGTTGGAAATTGCAGTATAGATTGGGGGCTGTGGTAAAGGTAGGTATTCCACCCGGCCACGTGATATCGATCGATATCGATTGAAAATATCGGTTTTTGCGCAGAGGGCTCGAATGAGGTTGGGAATCACAGTATTGATTGGGTGCTGTCACGGAAAAAAGAATTTTTATAGGGCCACGTGCTATCGATCGATATCGATTGAAAATATCGGTTTTTGCGCAGAGGGCTCGAATGAGGTTGGGAATCACAGTATTGATTGGGTGCTGTCACGGAAAAAGAATTTTCATAGGGCCACCTGCTATCGATCGATATCGATTGAAAATATCGGTTTTTGCGCAGAGGGCTCGAATGAGGTTGGAAATTGCAGTATAGATTGGGGGCTGTGGTAAAGGTTGGTATTCCACCCGGTCACGTGCTATCGATCGATATCGATTGAAAATATCGGTTTTTGCGCAGAGGGCTCGAATGAGGTTGGGAATCACAGTATTGATTGGGTGCTGTCACGGAAAAAGAATTTTTATAGGGCCACCTGCTATCGATCGATATCGATTGAAAATATCGGTTTTTGCGCAGAGGGCTCGAATGAGGTTGGGAATTCACAGTATTGATTGGGTGCTGTCACGGAAAAAGAATTTTTATAGGGCCACCTGCTATCGATCGATATCGATTGAAAATATCGGTTTTTGCGCAGAGGGCTCGAATGAGGTTGGAAATTGCAGTATAGATTGGGGGCTGTGGTAAAGGTTGGTATTCCACCCGGTCACGTGGTATCGATCGATATCGATTGAAAATATCGGTTTTTGCGCAGATGGCCCCAATGAGGATGGAATTCACAGTGTTGATTGTGTGCTCCAGTGAAAGTGCAAATTTATACCGGGAGCATGCCACCGAACGATATCGTTCGGAAACATCGGTTTTTGCACAGATGGCTCCAATGAGGATGAAATTCACAGTGTTGATTGTGTGCTCCAGTGAAAGTGCACATTCATACCGGGAGCATGCCACCGATCGATATCGATCGAAAATATCGACTTTTGACCAGATCAGATCATAGAGAATGAGCGGGTCGACTTCTGCAGCTTCTAAACTGTTCCATGGAACGAAGAAGACAAGAACCCCCATTGCATTA